TCCTAAAAGCCAAACAAATGAAACAGAAATCAGAGTAAAAGCATTCAAAAGGAGAAGCCATTTTTGGGTGGGTTTGTCACGACGGTTTTATTACAAAGCAGTGATTTCAGTAGGCTGTATGAGCAAAGAGTACTTTGAAACTCTGGGGTATGGATATAGAATTTTAGGGTAAACGCACAATAAAGAGTGGAGGGACAAAGATCTCAAATAAGAGCAGTAGACTAGTCACAACAGCACGATTTCACAGGGCAGTTTCTGATTAGGCAGGACAAGCAGACTGCGGGTGTATCTACAGGAGGCTGCGAAGACCTGTGGTGCCTGCTGCACTCAGGGATGTGAACACTGCTGCTAACTGCTCTCCACCAGCACTGCACAGGGAGCCAAAGCGTGTCCTGTCCTGCCTGAGGATCTTGAGTCCTATCTCAGATGTGTTGCTAGGCTGGTCATATAAAGAGTCAATCTATGCCAGGTTCCAGTACATTAATCTTGATTTTTAGATTAGGGAAAATAGTCACAAGAGGATTCATGAAGGAAAAGTGCAGATACCCTACATGATTATAATTGCTCCTTTCATTTTCACTGGGCAGGAGAAAAGAGAAAGTACATTAAAAGAATAATAGTCAGCAAGACAGAAAAGTGGGCAGGAGGAGAAAGGAACAACAGAAGTTGAGATGGTTGGATGCCATCACCGATATGATAGACATGAATTTGAGGAGGCTCCAGGAGTTGGTGATGGACAGGGAAGCCTGGTGTGCTGCAGTCCATGGAGTTACAAAGAGTTGAACATGACTGAGTGATTGAACAACAACTTTATTAGCTATAATAGCTCAAGCACAGTGAATAGAACCCTTTTTGAATTAATGAGGCACACTGGAAGGTGATTTTTTTTAATGTCAAGCTGACATGAAGATTTTGAGCTTTTATTAGACCCAGAAGGGCCCAGACTTAGACTACAAAACGGAACTCAGAGCAAGACACATCACTTTAGTAAAACAAAGATAAGAAGAATAAATTTATATGAAGTTAAAGCTTTTTGAAAAATTAATGTGAAATGTATTTAACTCTAACAAATTGCTAGAGCTAGATTCATAAGATGACTCTAAAAAGGGTCACTATAGTATATTTCTACAATTGAAGAAAAGTGTAAGAGGCAAACTCAATTATTATTTATTAACAGCTTTCAGATAAATTATCTGGTTATTGAGAATATGCAAAACTGTCTTATGGCAGCATCATTCAATACTGCAGTGGTAAATATAAACACTGAACTGATATAAGGAGGATAAAATGAAGGGAAATAACATTTATGAAGCACTCATTATGTGTCAGGCCTTGTTGCTTTTACATTTATTAACTCACTCAACCCTCAAAACAGTTTGTTATGCAGGTATTTCACAGATGAGGAAACTAAGATTCAAAGAAGTTAAATATTAAATAACTTGTCTGAAGCAACTCTGAAAGAAATGAGCTATAATTTTATTAAAAGTCTACTCAACTGTATCATTAAAATTGTTCTTTCTCCTATTTAATTGCCTCTCTTGAAAGCTGAATTCTCAAATCTTGATATGTGAAATAAATGCTATGATTGCCTATATTACTCATAAATGTATAGCTGATACCTGGCTCTTAGATGTTTCGTCAATTTAACGAGATAATCACTAAAAGGAGGATAACATCCAAATGCAAATAGTTAATCTAAATTTTACTGACATTAATTGTCAGCCTGTTCCAGCAAATTCTTATACTGAGGAAATTACATATCTTACTCATCACCTCTGTCTTCAAGCACATGGCACACGGGTAATGGGCCCAGTTATGGCTTCATATGCATATGTTTATGATTGCTGACTTCCTGCCAGTGGTAAAAGTTTTCCAAAAGGAACTAGGATAATTTGACATAGCAGAAATACATGAAGTGGAATCTGCTACAAATAACTTAAAAAACAAAAATCAAAGCAAAAGAAAACAATAGCCATAACCAAAAAAGACTTCTTATTTCCTCCTGAGCTGAATTCCCATCTGCTTTTAAATGGCAACATGTTTTTCCATTAAGTGGAAGCTACAGCCAAGAAACCAAAGACAATGAGGCTCTGGCCACGGGGGAACAGCGGGCTGCAGGGGCGGCTGATGGATGCTGCCTGCTTCAGCCTCTCCACAGAAGATGCTCCCTAGGGACCACCTTCTCCTTTCAACGGGAGACAAACTTCCCCTTGGGACTCTCCTTAGGATTAAAAAATATATTCTAATTCCTTGTAGACCCTTTCCAAGGAGGGAAAATGAAGTAACTCAGTATAAGGAGCTATTTCAAACTCTGGGTGTCTGTAAGCTTTCATGAAAACAAAAGCACCAGGTGACAAAAAAAAGATTCTGAAAAAGTAACTCCTTTTATCCCAGTTGCTTAATAAGTGCCAATATCATCTCCATCCCAATCATCCTAACTTTTTAATTAAAAAGATAAATAAAATACTTACCACAGTTAAAGTAAACATTTTCTGTTTCCAAAAAAACAGAGTGCCAGTAATTTCCTCATTTCTGGCTCACCCGGACAAATTTTTGTTAAATAGCTGATACTGTACAGTGATATAAAATTAATTTTATATAATACTGAATATATTGAATATTGAATATACTACTTTACTGAGAAGACAATTAACTGAGTTAGCAGTTTCATTTTTATACCAAAAGTGGAGACAGAGACACTCAACCCTGAAAAAGAGGTTGTACCTATAGCAGGATGCATTGCTATAAGAAGTTTCCTATATGACAAATGAGAAGGGAAAGTCTATTTTTCCTAAATATAATTTTTTCAGTTTATTAAGTCTTAGTAAAGTATATTCTATGTAGTAGGCTTTGTGCGGATATGACCTTGCTGGGGGAAGAAATAAATTAGTTACATCAGTGATAAAGCAATGAGTCTGTAGGAGTCACATGACTGAAGTTCAAACTTTGACTTTGTTTTTACTATTTAAAAACCCATCAAAACTAATTTTGGCTTTCAAACATTGTCGTGGCATTTTCATTCTGATACAGAGAAGAAAAAAAGATGAGATCTTATATTTTATGTGAAGCTAAGTTTAATCTATCTTAAATTTCCTACTGATTAATTTTAAGACTTTAAAAAAGACAGTATTTCTTTTCAAACAATAGGGCACCTGTGTGAATTACCTAAATATTGAGACCAAACCCTCCTCTCAAAACAAAAACTAGGTAACTAATCTGTCTTGTCCAAGTTGAAAACACAGAACTACAAAGATATACGTCTGGAATAAATGTCTATAAAAATGTAATCATATACTAATTATAATTAGGACCACAGTGGAATACCCTACCCTCATCCAAGAATTATGGGACACAGAAATGTAAAGTGAGGGACAGAAATGTCTGCTACTTTCTCTATGACTATTTTTAGAAGAGCTGATATAAAAATTAATCAGAAATGAATGTGCTTATATTTCAGGCTGAATAAGGCATGTACTACATAGGAATTAGCAAGCTGGTACAATAATTCCTGGCACCAAATGAGATTTTACTTCTCAGCCAGACAGGATCTCATTGGCTTTGATTTTTGTTTTGCACTTCTGCATTACTATCATGAATTACTTCAAAGTGAGAAAGGCATATTTATACTTTGCTAACTGCTCTTCCACTTCACTCAAGTGAAAGATTTATGGTTTCTTCTCCTGGCTGTTTCCTGTAAACTGACATATCATATACAGGATGCCAGCCTTTGCTCTCACATCAAAAACTAAATTCGAGAAATGCTACAGCAGTCAGCTAGCAGTAACTTTATGTTCATTTTAACTTAATGGATGGTCATGCCAAAGAGATGCTCATAAAGATTATTGTCTTAGACAGGACTTTAAATGTAAAGGCATTTTAACTGCTTCTTAAGCTTTCTACAAGAATTTTCCACCCCAGTGGAATTTAAACATTTAAAGGAGGAAAATAAAATATACATAGTTCACAGTTGCAGAAACAATGAGTAGATCTGAGAATTTTTTTGGTTGTTGCTATTAGCTATGACTGCATGATATACTAAATCCAATTCCACATGTAAATTTATCTGCAAGACTCTGATTATCATATAGTTTATTATGTATTAGTCTCTTTGGTTTTTATAGAAGACAGATAAAAATAACAGCAATCAAAACAGAAAGTGGAGTCCCAGTCTGCTGGATAATTCAGAATGAAAAGAATCTGCAACTTCGTATTTATGAGAGTATTAATTTTCCAGTACAAACCCATATCAGTGGTATTCAGAAGACATTTCTGTGTGGAACACATGTAGAAAAGTTGCACAAATATTTTAATGGAATTTTATTCTGTAAACAAAAACAGCCTAATTAAAGAGCTGCTAAGGAGAGAAAAATATGTCTTACTTAATATGCCATACCTAAAATTTTCATATTTTCACAGAAGTGTTGCTGTTCTTGTTTAAACTGTATTTTTACTATTAAGAGCAGACTGGCTGTCCCTTTTATGATTTTATCACAGAATCTTTGTAGATTGAGATAATTTTCCAAAAGTTAGAAGATAATAAAATCGTCTTTTGTATTTCGGAGTATGTTTATGATATCTTAATCTCATTTTTATGATCTCTATGAGAACACAGTAGGGAAAGTTGTACACTATTTTCATTTGCTAGGTAAAGGAGTCAAAGTTCAGAAAAGTGTGTAACTGGTTGGAAGCTGCTATATCAAGAAGCCCCAAAAGAAGAATCTTTTACTTTTGGTCCAATGATCTCTCCACTATATTATGCTAACTCTCTGAAGACTACATTTTGAGATATAAGAAAAGCCAGGTAAAAGCAAATGAAATACTGTAGGCCGGGTAAAATGTAATTTAATTTTAGTGACTATCTGTCATGTAGTGTATTTCCTGTTTTAAGATTTCTTAATATGGAGTTATTTAAAACAGCTGGCATCAAGCAATGTTCTTTGCTAATGACCCCAAACCACTGCTTTCCTCTCACCAAGGTATTTTGAGGGTAATTATCTTACCTCTGCTCCTGAATACGTATCTGTTTGGAGAATGAGTTCATTCAGATCAACCTCGTTATTGATTGGCATAGAGTGAAACTGTAGGTTAAGTATTTCCCTTCTTGTTGCTGCATCTGGTAAAGGCACATAGATGATTCTATCAATTCTTCCAGGCCGCATCAAAGCCTATAAAGAAGATGGGGCAACACAGATTAACCAAGCTCAGAACTGACATTCCTCAAGAAAGGTATACAAGGAAAGAGGATGCCCAGAATCTTATGAATAACTCACTATTATCAAAATTAGTAAATAAAACAAGTACCAGTGGTTCTGTATCTACATCAAAGACTCAAACAAATAAACAATGTCAGAGTACTTTTGAAAACCGAAAAGCAGTATTTCTGAACAGCTTTTTGCTCCCTTGCAACTAACTGTCAGGTCAGTAAAAGATGACTCTTCTCTTTTAAGGAAATGTGTATATGACTTGCATTCATCATATCAAAAGTTTGTTTTTGGATAATTTCCTGCAGTAATTCTTAAAATATGGGTTAAGCTATTTCAGAGGTCTCAAAATAACAGCTCAAAGAATACTTCTAAGAACTGATGGTAGTCAAAAAACTTCCCTAATATTTTATTGAAGGCTAATGCCTGAATTATCTTAGAAACAATGAAGTCATCTATTCAGAAAAAAAATATTGAGCATGTACTATTATATACTAGACTTTGTTCTTGGTTCTAGGAATTAGCATAAATAAGATAGGTATGTGTAAAGCCAATTATGGTGATAGTTATTCATGTCTGTGAATATACTAATAACCTTTGAATTGTATATTTTAAGTGAATGAATTTTATAGTCTGTGAATTATATCTTAATAAAACTATTAAAAGAAATAAGGGTCTAAAGTGTGTGTTGACAGCATGCAGCAGCTTTTAGTGGGGGCAGTCAGAGAAAGCCTCTTTGAAGAAATAAATTTTGCAGATACTCCTAGAAGTCACCCATACAGAAATTTGGGGAAAGAGAACTCAAGGTAAAGGAAACATCAAGTGAAAAGGCACAGATGACTGGTATGTTCCAGAGAAATAAAAAACCCTACTGTTTTAGAAATCGTGAATAAAGTGAAAGATGTAGGAAATGTGGTTAGAGAGATTGTCACAGGAAGAATATAAGGCCTTAAACAACATGGTGAAGAGTGTGGATTGTATTCTATTTGCAATGAGAAGCAATTGGAAGGTTTTAAGCAGGAAGGTGAAATGATAAGATTTACATGAAAAGATCATTCTTATGGGACAAAAAATGTCTAAAATATACATAAACAAAAATCCAAGAAAAGATGGGGTAGAAAAAAATATTTGAAGAAAAAACTGAAAATTCCTCCCAGTTGGTAAACAAACATGAATTGACATGATCAAGAAGCTCAATGAATTTCAAACAAAATAACTACAAAGAAAACCATACACAAACATATTACAGTCAAACTGCTGAAAACTAAAGATGCCAGAGTGAACACAGGGAACAATGATTTGAATCATCAATGACTCTCAATCAAAACAATATGGAAACCAGTAGAACATCTTTAAAATGCTGAAAGAATGAAAATGTCATCCCAGAATTCTATTCCCAGTGAAAGTACCCTTCAATAACAAATGAAAAATAAAGTCACTTTCAGATGTAACAGAAAACCAAGGAATACCTACCAGTAGACCTTTCCACTGGAAGAAAACCAGTAGATCTACACTACAGAAAATGCTAAAGGAAGTTCTTAAGGTTGAAAAAAAATGACAGGAGATGAAAAACTGAATCTTCAGAAAGAAACAAAGTGGATCGGAAATGAAATACCACAAACATGAAGACTTCTCAGATATGCTAAAAATTACTCTTGCTACTGGCATAATGAGAAACAGTACTCCTTGAATATATAAGAGATATTCACTTATAATGCAAAACAGTGTATTTTTATGTGTATTTATGAATATGAAGTATCTAGAAAAAAGATGTGATAGAAATACAGAAAGTATGGAAGACAAGAACTCAGACATGAATCTCTTTTAATTACAAAACTTAAAACAACAACAATAACAACAAAAAACAAAATCTTAAACATGCAGCTGGGACCACACATAAAACACTACAGAAAACACAAACATTGAAACTTCATATGGTTTCTCTGTGGGACTTAGTTCTTAGGGAACTGGCATAAAAAATGACAATATCCTGTGAATAATAAATTATCCTTTGTTTCTGACTCAGGAGTCTCATGTCTTTTGCCAGACTCTATGAAATTATTGCAGACTAACTTGTTAGGTTTCAAATAGGGTAAAGTCTCAGAACCTTCATATTTCTTAATATGTATGTTCCTAATAATGAAGCCTCAACATATATACAGCAAAAATTGACAGAATTAAAAAGATAATAAATATAAATTCACAACCTAAATAGGAGATTTTAACACTCTTCTTTTAGTAATTAATAGAACTAGAAAACAAATCAGTATGACAGAGAGGATCGAACAAGACCATCAATTACCCAGACCTAACTGAAATTTATATATAGGCCATCACGTCCAACAACCACAGAACACGTATTTTTTTCAAGTACAATGGGTATATTCACCCATATGATAAGCAGTAAAACAAAACTCAACAAATTCAAAACGATTGAAATCATAGAGTAGAGCTCTGAATACAAGAAGATAAGTTAGTCATGAATAAAAATAAGACAGAGGAAAATCCAAAACACATTAGAAATTAAACATATTTCTAAACAAGACATTAATCAAAGAAGAAATCACAAAGAAAATTAGAAAATGTTTCAAGTTGAATGATAATGAAAATTTAACAAATGAAGATGTGTGAAATATACTTAAAGCAGTGCTTAGAGGCAAATTTACAACTTTAAATGCTTATAAAGTAAAGAAGTCTAAAATCAATGACCTAAGTTTCAAGAGTAAGTACAAGGAAGGAAACATGAGAGCAGAAATCAATGAAATGGGAAACAAGCAAGAGAGAAAAATCAACAAAGGTTAAGAGTGATTTTCCACAAAGATTTAAAAAATTGATTAAATTCTAGCTAGGCTGAACAAGGCTAAAAGAGAGAACAAACTAGAAATGAAAAAAAAGGTTTATCACTAAAAGATCCTAAAGATAATAAAAGGATAATAGAATATTATGAACAACTTTGAATAAAAATAAACAAATTTCTCATTTGTTTATTTTTGCTTTTATTTCTAAAATTCTGGGATGTGGGTCATAGAGGATCCTGCTGTGATTTATGTCGGAGAGTGTTTTGCCTATGTTCTCCTCTAGGAGTTTTATAGTTTCTGGTCTTACATTTAGATCTTTAATCCATTTTGAGTTTATTTTTGTGTATGGTGTTAGAAAGTGTTCTAGTTTCATTCTTTTACAGGTGGTTGACCAGTTTTCCCAGCACCACTTGTTAAAGAGGTTGTCTTTTTTCCATTGTATATCCTTGCCTCCTTTGTCAAAGATAAGGTGACCATAGGTTCGTGGATTTATCTCTGGGCTTTCTATTCTGTTCCATTGATCTATATTTCTGTCTTTGTGCCAGTACCATACTGTCTTGATGACTGTGGCTTTGTAGTATAGTCTGAAGTCAGGCAGATTGATTCCTCCAGTTCCATTCTTCTTTCTCAGGATTACTTTGGCTATTCGAGGTTTTTTGTATTTCCATACAAATTGTGAAATTATTCGTTCTAGTTCTGTGAAAAATACCATTGGTAGTTTGATAGGGATTGCATTGAATCTGTAGATTGCTTTGGGTAGTATAGCCATTTTGACAATATTGATTCTTCCAATCCATGAACACGGTATATTTCTCCATCTGTTTGTGTCCTCTTTGATTTCTTTCATCAGTGTTTTATAGTTTTCTATGTATAGGTCTTTTGTTTCTTTAGGTAGATACACTCCTAAGTATTTTATTCTTTTTGTTGCAATGGTGAATGGTATTGTTTCCTTAATTTCTCTTTCTGTTTTCTCATTGTTAGTGTATAGGAATGCAAGAGATTTCTGTGTGTTAATTTTATATCCTGCAACTTTACTGTATTCGTTGATTAGCTCTAGTAATTTTCTGGTAGAGTCTTTAGGATTTTCTATGTAGAGGATCATGTCATCTGCAAACAGCGAGAGTTTCACTTCTTCTTTTCCTATCTGGATTCCTTTTATTTCTTTTTCTGCTCTGATTGCTGTGGCCAAAACTTCCAAAACTATGTTGAATAGTAGTGGTGAGAGTGGGCACCCTTGTCTTGTTCCTGATTTCAGGGGAAATGCTTTCAATTTTTCACCATTGAGGGTGATGCTTGCTGTGGGCTTGTCATATATAGCTTTTATTATGTTGAGGTATGTTCCTTCTATTCCTGCTTTCTGGAGAGTTTTAATCATAAATGGATGTTGAATTTTGTCAAAGGCTTTTTCTGCATCTATTGAGATAATCATATGGTTTTTATCTTTCAATTTGTTAATGTGGTGTATTACATTGATTGATTTGCGGATATTAAAGAATCCTTGCATTCCTGGGTTAAAAGCTTTTGCACAACAAAGGAAACTATAAGCAAGGTGAAAAGACAGCCCTCAGATTGGGAGAAAATAATAGCAAACGAAGCAACAGACAAAGGATTAATCTCAAAAATATACAAGCAACTCCTCCAGCTCAACTCCAGAAAAATAAATGACCCAATCAAAAAATGGGCCAAAGAACTGAACAGACATTTCTCCAAGGAAGACATACAGAACGCTAACAAACACATGAAAAGATGCTCAACATCACTCATTATCAGAGAAATGCAAATCAAAACCACAATGAGGTACCATTACACACCAGTCAGGATGGCTGCTATCCAAAAGTCTACAAGCAATAAATGCTGGAGAGGGTGTGGAGAAAAGGGAACCCTCTTACACTGTTGGTGGGAATGCAAATTAGTACAGCCACTATGGAAAACAGTGTGGAGATTTCTTAAAAAGCTGGAAATAGAACTGCCATATGACCCAGCAATCCCACTTCTGGGCATACACACCGAGGAAACCAGATCTGAAAGAGACACGTGCACCCCAATGTTCATCGCAGCACTGTTTATAATAGCCAGGACATGGAAGCAACCTAGATGCCCATCAGCAGACCAATGGATGAGGAAGCTGTGGTACATATACACCATGGAATATTACTCAGCCATTAA